GGAGTGACTGACCAACTTTAACAATGTATGTATCTCAAGGACCTCCAGTTTCTTGACTTTAGTATAATGTACAATATACGTCCTATTTACAAATTAAAACTTCCTAAATATAGAACTTTTATACTTTAAAGCAAAAGGAGTATAAAAAAGACAAAAAAACTCAGCCTGACTAAGGCTAAATGCTTTCGTTTTGATTATAATTTTGCACTATTTTCTATTCCTTTAGGCATTGTTTTTGTAATTTGGTGTATATTCTCAACCAATACTTTATACATGTTAACATTGTTTGTTGGAATTGCTGTTCAAAGCAAAATTAATTAAATATCAAAAGCAAAATTAATTAAATAAAGCAAAATTAATTAAATATCAATGTAATTATTACCTGAAAATATCCATAAGCTATAGACAGTATTTGTGCTGGGACATGCCCTTTCCTTAAAAATTAATATTAAACAATAAATATTCACATGCAAAAACACGAGATTAATCATAATATAAAGTATCTGCATGTAGGCTAGATTCAACCAAACAAACAATTTAAAAATTTTGATTACCATAATGCTGGAACTCCCTCTTCTTTGTAAACTAGTTTAAAAGCTTGCCCAACACCAGTATATTTGCCTGTAGAAGCAAAATTAATTAAATATCAATGTAATTATTACCTGAAAATATCCATAAGCTATAGACAGTATTTGTGCTGGGACATGCCCTTTCCTTAAAAATTAATATTAAACAATAAATATTCACATGCAAAAACACGAGATTAATCATAATATAAAGTATCTGCATGTAGGCTAGATTCAACCAAACAAACAATTTAAAAATTTTGATTACCATAATGCTGGAACTCCCTCTTCTTTGTAAACTAGTTTAAAAGCTTGCCCAACACCAGTATATTTGCCTGTAGGTTTATGCTGAAAGAAGAAGCATTTGGATTGTATCAAAACGATAAGTTAGAGAACAATTTTCATATCAGCTTAGGTGTTTTAAAATTAATAATTATTATAGCCTGCGTAGCCAGGCATTCCTAGCCGCTCCAAAAGAGTTTGGGCCAGAGAAATCCAGAAAACCCCTTCTGGGTTTCTCTGGCCCAAACTCTCTMGGAGTGGCTAGGAAAGYCTGGCTGCACAGGCTATAATTATCAGTAATGATAATCATAATCGATTGAACACGACTGTAAGCCTAGGCTCCTCCACAGGCATCACTAGGAATCAGGGGCTTCCTATGTTATTTGRGAGTCAGAAGAGAGAGAATGGGGCCGAGAGAGGGGAGGGCATGGGGAACATTCCCCAGGGCACAGCTGGTCAAARATGAAGTCCACAAGGTGAAGGATGTGGTCCACACATGTCGATATTCAGCAGGCAACTCCTCCTCTTCTTATTTTCCCTTTCTCATCACTAGTCCCTATCGGCCAAGATGAGCATTACAAAGGAAGCCCAAAGGACAAAAAAGACTTTTCTTGGGMGGAAGGTTTTTGTGACTTTAAATTTTGATAAAAGGGAATAGGAAAATCAAAAATTAAATTAAACCAAAAAGAATGAAGTTTATTGGTCTTTCAATGGCTTCCATTGGACTGTCTTTATTTAAGTGGAGTAACGAACTGTCATTTCTCTTCCCAGCAGTTGTCCAAAATGAGCAGTTTTTTGTCAACTCCAACAGTCAAATGCCATTTCCGTTCCTATTTTGGTCCCGTCATTCAAAAACCAAACAATTACTATGGTTGCATCTTAAGGTCTGAGAGGATTTAAAGGAAATTTGTGTTTGTGACTTAGAAAGATAGCTGAAGTACATGGTAAACAGTACATGTTTTACTTCGTCAATCATCGACATCCGCAAAAATCGTCACGCTTTTTGTAAGATTCTTGGTAAGCTTAAATATTGGCCTGAGTAGCACGAAATATAACATTAATGATAAACTACGATACGGTTGGTTTTATCATTAAAACTGATCATGTTGGAATGAAAACAATCAGAAACATCAAAATCAACGTGCTTTTCTGATTTATAGTCGACTTAATTCATTCTAYTTATCATCTTTCGTGATTTGTTCTCGCTTTGTTAAGCTACTACTAGCATGTTTACGCAAATCCCTCAGGCGAAAACACGTCGGGCAGCGCTGATTGCAGAGATCATRACAATAATACTACTTACCGATGTACCGCTGTACGTCGGTTCTACTTGTAGTTGAAATCTTATCTTAACAACATCTAAAGGCTGCGCAATCACTCTCGTTAAAGCACCRGCAATTGATCCACAAATGCCACATTGTGAAGAGGTCAGACCTTTCTCCACGCGGTTAGGATCAAAACCTACCATTTTCTGGACTAAATTAAATTAACATTGACTGTGAATTTCMMAAATAAATGTCATTTTCTCTCAGCTATTTTTYTGTCATYATATTTTGTCCTTTAGTAACTTAAAAAGCAACGAGACTAAAGAAAACAATTGCAAATCACGCGAGAACACTGCTCCGCCATCTTTCTACGGTTGARCCTTCAATGYCCAAGGCGTCCCTGTTTTGTCCGTGAGAAGACTAATTCAAAGGAAGTAAAATTACCGTTCACTACCGGAAGTAACTATTGTATTCCCGCGAGAGCTTGAATTTCTCACGTGACTAAAATACTRGTTTTTGATTGGTTGGTGAAAGGAAGCGAGCATTGGAATGTCCAGTGGTTGTTTTACTCTGATTTTGTAGTAAATTTKCTTCAAAATGTCATCTTCTTGAAGGRATTCCTTGGTYTAAACAACAATGTCTGCTCATAAGGGAAAGCCCTCCAAAAGGGCACTACCAAATGTGCCTTTACTTAGGACTGGGAGTGAAGACTTTATAAATACAGCCGTTTTGAAAACTGCCATTGCCGCAAATTCGAAAACACGTTCAACCGCCAAACAGCAAACTTCTTCAACTCCCTCAACTCCAGAGAAGGTTGCAGTCAGGAAGACAAGCGCTCCAGCTGGGGTACTTCGTCAMCAGCTTTTGAAAAACTCTCCATTGTCGACGAGAAGAAGATTGCTAGAACAAAGACGCGATAGTGCGAATTCAACAAGCTCTAGTAATGATTCGCCTCTTTCAAGTCGAAGAGGTTCGAAGGAGAATTTRCCYWTTATCAAAGACATCGGAGATGAAMATAATAAAACAAATGATAAGAAAATTGCTCGTGTGCTTCCAATGTCGCCTGCCTTTTTGACGAACGAGGGAATTTMTGTCAAAAGYACAACACCAACKGTGAAGAATTTGAAAGACTTCGACACACCATTAAGAAATATTGACAAATTTGTACATTCAGAGASTCCGAAAGTTTTTAACGGGACACCTTCTCGGGTACATGAAAAGATACAACACACTCCGGCTACTACGCCACACACTCCGTATCAAGTGCCAAACATTGCGGACGAGGATTCTTGTAGTATTGTTGTCGCAGTTCGAGTCAGGCCCCTCTCTCAAAGGTGAGTRRATTTTCGTCCATGCAGATTATTATATTACTGAMAAAATGYTTTRTARYATACCASAAACTTCATATCTTTTGAGTTAAGYATTTTGTCTTTATCTTTATTGCTAAAGTTACTAATTAAATTTGATGTTTATTGCTGTCAATTATACAGTGTATGAGCTGTTCATTTGCGTGTATGTCATATCAAGACGTGGAACGTTTGATCAAAATACTTTGCTTTGATCAAACGTTCCAATTATTGAAATCAGCATTTGTCCATGACCGGATTCCCGAGAAGTGCCTAATAAAATCTTGCATTTCCGAGTCTTTATATGGCATGCAAATGTTTATGTATCCCGTGTTTATGTACCATTAATAATGGGGACATAATAATAATCAGAAACGTTCCATCTATATCTATATCCTCCTGGTCTGGCAACAGCAAATATTTTGAAGGGCATATTGTCAAATACCGATTTGTTATTTACTTTTACATGTAATCAAACTTCTGTTTTGATAAACAAATCTCCTGGCATCCATGACGTGCGGTGCCTTGTGATGATTCGATTAGACTTCACAACAAATACATTTCGATCAACGCACTTGAGAATTGTCTGAATCAATGATATGGGTTTGATCAAACGTTAGAAAAACTTTTCTTCATTAAGGACAATTTGAAGGATTCTTCACAAAAATATTTTATTGCAATAAAGGTGAATTCGCCGTGTTTATAGAGATTAATTGGTATATTTTATTCTAAGTTGGCGTCATTCGTAAATCCTGTATTCCCCAGAGAGTATGATGGCAGGAAACTTAAATGACCACTCGCCTTTGTTTATTTATCCATATCACAATATGAGGTGCACTTGATCAAATGTTCTAGAAGCATTGAYCCAAATGTCAAATCTCTAATCAAACAATTTAAATGACTGTTTAATCTTTGATGTTTATGTGCATAATTTAGTAGGGACAAACAGTGGTATTATTGAATATTTACAGTGTACATGTATGTTTATAAGTGTTCTGTCTCAGTTGATCATGTTTTTATWATCCAAGTTTCTGGCTCTTTTCGGTGCTGTAATCTGTAGTGGAATCCTCCTTTGCCATTGAMCCTAAACCCTAGAACTTTTAATAAAATCATCAATTTAAAGCACTCCTGCTGTTTCTTCAGACATAACTTTATTTGATGTTTATGGAAACATTGTTATCGCGATAACAATGTTTCCATAAACATCAAATAAAGTTAAAGCCATCACTATAAAGCTAAATCCACATTAATAATAACTTTAAGCCTCACAAATATTTCGCAAAGCAGAAGTATCAAGAAGCACTCAACTTAAAGTCATATTTTGCTTATCAGTAGTATATTTTGCTTATTGAGATCTCATCCTTGGCAATGCATGGACAAAATTAGTTGACCAAACATTGCTGTTCATTCATTTGTTGCTACTTTTTGACCTGCTTTACTTCAGGGTGAGAATACAGAAAAGGACTTTATAAATATGCATGCTCTTGATTTTTTTAAAAACTCTTTCTTGAAATGTTCATGTTTTCCACACCAAGAGTTATCTTAAAGTTTATTATACTAACAAGTCATGCTATGTGTTTTTTCAGTTCAGTAATTACTTTATCTGACAATATTCTGTTGGGGCTTTTCTCAGTCCATCAGTATCCCTTTCCATCTTAAAATTGCTTACCGTATTTACTCGAATAGACGCCTCCCCCGAATAGATGCCTCCCTCAAATAGACGCCGCACTTAAGGCTCAAAATATTAATAGACGTCGCCCCCGAATAGATGCCGCATCTGGGTGCGAAAATAATGATACCAGTGGCGTCTATTCGAGTAAATACGTTATATTAATATAGTTGATTGACAAAAGGTTGTCCTGACCGGGTTTTRCGAGACGCAAATAGCCCAAACTGGTTTCTGGGTAAAAATCAATGACCTGGCAAATTAGGGACTTGAACGCCTTTGTGATTGGAAGAACTGACACATAATTTGTGAAAAAAATTTCTAAATCACAGGAATTTAATTATGCATGTATTTGATGTAGGTTTTTGCATCTAACATTGTTTTCCATCATGTTGGGGAATACAACGTTCAATGTTTGTGTTCCAGTTCTTAAAAAGAGAGTAAAAGCCAAAACAAATTGACACTATATTAGGTGTTGTCATGCCTGATTTGCCAGCTCATTGATTTTTTTACCCAAAAACCCATTCGGGTGTGTCTCATGCTACAAAGTCTGATCGATGACAACCTTTTGGGCATCAGGATGCAAAAAATCATAGTTTTAATAACTATRCAAAAATGTAGCAGCTCAACAGTTGCTTGTGTCAYAGTTAACCCTTTCTAGCCTGTGCACATTCCATTTMARCCCCTCYYACCCSTCCCTAAGRCAATTTGGTGCTAAATTCATTCCATTAACCAGAATTCACATATTTTATCTTTAGGGAAAAGCAAGATGGTGGTGTGACAATATGTGTCTCAATGCAACAAAATGAAACAAATATTGTATCTAACCAAGGAACCAAATATGACTTTATCTACGATCATTCCCTGTGGTCGGTGGACCCAGATCAMCCAGAATACACCAGTCAGGAAGATGTCTACAAATTATTGGGAGAACCTTTGCTTAACAGTGCTTTTGAAGGATATAATACTTGCCTGTTTGCTTATGGACAGGTGAGATAGAATCTTTTAGATTATTTTATCAAATTCATTAATAATTCATAAGGTAAACACAATAGAAAATCATTGCCGTGACCGCATCTTTATATGAGCAAGAGATTTGTCCTGTTTTTCATAGACTTTGACTTTTCTCTTTAAAATAATATTTTACCTCGAAGTTTTTTGCAAAATATGCAGCTTTAGCTTATGTTGGGATTTGATAAGCAATATCAAATCCGACCTATATGGGCCTTAAAACTGCTCGCTTGCAACTCACAGTTTTAAATGCCCATAAAGGTCTCCTGCTCATATTTTATAT